TTTCCTGTTTTATAATTGATTCTTTATCTATTTTCCCATTAATAATCAAAAGCCTAACCCTCACCTGGCAGACACTATAGGCACTTGTCTTGGTCTTCTTTTACTTGCCTCCAATTATTGGGGTCATTTCACTCAGTTATACTCTATACTGATATCTGACAAAACATTTCCCTCCCAATTCTATCCTGGACAGAGAACGTATCACATGTATGTTTAAAAAGCTTAGAAAGCTAAAGTCAAAGCATAAACTACGAGAGTAATTAATGGGGGGGGAGGTCCTTATTTATCTCATATAGTGTACTTTTTACTTATTTTACTTGCAGTCCGCTTATATTTGATATCTAGATACTGAATATTTTGTATATGTAAACATATACTTATTTGCCACTTCATTAGGTACAGCTGTTCAACTGCTTGTTACCAGTTAACAATCACCAGTCACTAGACAAAAACTGAGCATCAGAATGGGCAAGAAAGGCGAGTTGGGTGACTCTGAATGTGGCATGGTTGTTTGTGCTAAATGCGCTGTTCTTGAGCATCTCAGAAACTGTTGATCTCCTGTGATGTTTACACACAACCGTCTCTAGTTTATCTTAACAAATCTGCAGTAACAGCAGCCAGGTGTACCTAATAAACTGGTTCACAAGACGCAGTAATAAAAGCTAAAAATTAGTAGTCATGAAAAAGAATTTCAATTATGCGTAAGTAATTTTTGATGAAAATATTGCTGTATACTTTTTGTCTCTAATAAACAGACAAAGCTAATATTGTTCTGTAAAAACCTGTAAAATTAGATTATAAATAAACAAGCCTGTTTTTTCACTGATAATAAGCCGATATATTGTTTTGTACCTTACTCAAGTAACGGACACAAATTCAGTCCAGATTTTGGAAAGCACCGAAGGGCAGCCTTTTACGTATGGAGGGCCTGTTGACCCAAAAATCAACACTGTCAAAATGTTCTCACTTTAGGGGATCTTCTGTCCTTGTGAGAATGTCTGGTTCTCCTTTACAACCATTGAAATGCATTAACACACTGCCCTTCACCCCACGCAGACGCATTCTCACACCCTGGATGACCACAGAGTGTTGGGCAGTAATTCAGTCACAAACGTTGCTCATTTCTGAGGAAGTAAAGCCAGGAGGAAAAATCTGAGTGGAGGAGTCTCCTCATCTACCCACATCTCATTTCATTGGCTAAGAGGCATGATGTCACAGAGTGGAAAAACCTATAAGAAGTCACACTCCCACACAGACAGCAGACAAGCTGAGAGCTCATTCACTTAGAACAAGGAAGACGGCTCTGTGAACCACATACGACTCATCATGTGCAGAGGACGCGACTCGCTGCCTATCACTTGCCTCGAAAGGTGAGATATGTGAGGATGTTATATCAGATTTTTCTTTTTTAAACAAGAGATTATGATGTTGTCATCTGTAGAAAATACAGGACGGATTAATCTCACTGTAACTTTTCCTCCTTTTTTAACAGGGCAAAAGAGCTGAAAGCTCTGTTTGGGAGTTTGCTACAGAAGTCAGACAGCATCACTGGGCACTCAAAGAAAAGCGACAAACTGAGGTAAGACATTCATTCAGCATCTCTTTTTTGGCACTTCAGTTGAGTTCATGTGAATCCTGGATACTGTAGGAACATTTCCTAACTACTTTGTCTCTGCTTCTGCAGGTTTAATGTTGAGGAGCCTCTTAAATGGAAGGAATCATTTGACAATCTGTTGACCAGCCCAAGTAAGTCCACCAGATCACTCACAGAAGTAAATGTAAATAAGTTTTGAGCTTTCTATGAGATGTTAACTCTTTCTCTTC